CGCTTGATAGGACTTACAGGTAAAATGTCACTCTGGGGATGGATGGAATTTTTTGCTTTTTGCTAACTGGACATAAAGATTTCGGAGGGGTCTCTGTTGCTCTTTAAACCGCTCTAATAATCTGTCTGTTAATCCTTTGAGAAATTTAACAGCCTCAATCGAACAAATTGTTCTCACAAAGTTCTTAGTTAATAAAATGAAAAACTGGCACTGAAATTGCTATGAGAAGAGGTATTTTTTGTGCTGTTGCTTTAATAGATAGAAGGCCCATTCCCACTTTCAGCAAGTAGGAAACCTGTACAGTTTGTTTCTAAATGTCATAGAAATTCCAGAATGCTTTAATGAGACAATAGACTCCCTGTGGGACTAGAAGTTTGTAATTGTTCCTTTCTCATTATGCAAGATCATTATTTTAGCTGCTTCAGGCGATTTATGAAAAAGAACTTGTTGCTTCAAAAATGTTTGTGAGGTTCTTTGTTCTGGCTCCCCAGTCCCCTTTACGAGGATCCTGCAGCTTTTTCAATAAATTGAGTCCGGGAAAATTCTCTAGGACCTTTACTTACATATTGCCTGAGTTTATTTATGTGGCCTTATTTTTGTTTATAGATATTTTTGGTAGTGAGGTAACTATAGCAATTGTCTTTCCATCTGTGCCTGGGGTATGATTAGTATGTGACGGTATCCTTTAATGTCTGACAGGATGCTTTAGATAGGTCAGTTTACTTATTTCCAGAAGGTCCAGGGGACATCAGAAGATGATGTAGAGAAAAAGGAAATGTACCAAGGTAACTTAGCTTGAAAAGAGTCTCATGTACCTGTCTCTCTGTTACAGAGGCTTTAATCCTGTTCCATATACCAAATGAATACCCTCCCCACTGCCCGCACAGCTGAAAGGTCAGGGCATCCTGCGATCTTCCCTGTTCATAGTAGGAAACGTGGCTAGTTTTAGGGAAGCATTCCTTGTCTCTCTGAACCAGGAGGAAAGAGGTGGACACTTACAAACTCTGCTTCTGACACTGTTGGTGTATTGTAGCCTTCCATCTGAAGAGGAAGACCTGCTGCAGTGCTTACAAAGGGGGTTTGAAAGGAGAGACTTTGTTTCCTAGGGCTGGCTTGTTGATTTTGATTGTTTGGAAAGGGGGCTGCTTTGGGGGTTGGTTTGGTTTTCCTGTCTCTCATTCCCTCTTGAGATAGGAGTGGTTAAGAGAATCTGACTCTCAGCTCTCAACCTGGACAGTGAAGTAGGCTGGAGAAATTTTAGGGGCCTGCTAGGAAAACACGGTACAGGTTTACAGTTGCATTGCATGATTCAATCAGACTTTGATGAGAAATTAATACCTTGCAAAGCATTCTGTTGTTGTTGCTCGAGCTGTTACTGGCCGAGATCGAACAAGGACAACAGTTGTCATACGCTCCCTTTCAGGCCTCTGCTTGGCAGGACACTTAACACCTCTGCTTACACCATTACATTGAGTAGCAGGGCAGTTCGATAATTAACAAAAGATATAATTGTGTAATACAAACAGAGTTTAAGTGCTTAAAGCTATGGAAGTGTTTGTGTCCTTCTGAACTTATTGCTAAAATAAGGACATAGTCAGTTAACACTGAACTTCAGAAACTTCCTGTTATCCATACCTAGACATTAATGCTCAGAAATATGAGTTTACAACAACATATGACTTGCTGTAGGACATATATTGGCCTATCTTAACTGTAAAACACTGTAATTAATGTTTGAAATGACTGTAAGTCAATGGTAGAGTGGCTCTTTCACAAATACACTCCCACATCTTTTTTTCAAGTGAAGCAAAGTGGCGACGGAAGAAAACAGACTGAGAAAACTGAGCAGTAGCATGCACCCTGCTGGGACTGATCTGCTGTATGAAGCAATTAGTGCTTTAAAATTAAGACTGTTTAAGTACGTGCAAGTCACAGCACAGGCTTGTATGAGATTATAAAGTTGCTTTTAAAATTATTAATGAAAACTTGTAAACTGTATCCCGGATTAGTTGAGTTAGTATAAATACAGGACTGTTGTATTAAAAAAACCCACAACAAACCAAACACAAAACAAACAAAAAAACCCACCCCCTGCCCCCCCCCAAAAAAAACCCAATGCAAAAAACCTTAGGCTCTTCTCTTCTAGCTTTAATCAATACAGTCATATCTCTTTATGATATCTACCTGGAAAATTAATTCTTTCAGGGATTTAGATTTGTGAGAGACAGCCATTATGCCTGTTTGCTTATTTGTTTGCTCTTAATGAACTTCCTAGTCTGAATATTTAGAGTACAAAACTTTGGTCATTGGTCATTTACCAAGATTATGTAAACACTTCGCTTTCATCACTTAACCCCTCAGATGCAAGGCAGATTTATTAGCCAATTCTTTAGCATTTCAATCTTACAGGTGCTAAAATTAAGCTGCCTTTCATGCAGGAGCATCAACTGCTGTCCTGATGCTGTGATCTGACCTTCCCTTTCAGGCTCAGCAGCAGAGGAAGTGCAAGCAGAGTAAGTTACAGATGCAGCTCTCATGTTTGAATTTGAAGGGTAAATCTGACTTGGCAACAGATTTAGGTCATCCTGGCAAGATTGGTTACTGCTTGGCAGGAACCCTCTTTTTTATTGTGTCTCCCCTGCATAAATTGCAAATATTTGAGGATGTGTTCCAAATTGAATCACTGAAGTGGTGATATTTTATCTGACAAAGAACTGGCACTCCTTAGTAAATCTAGTCACCCGCTATCACAGACAGCATATAGGAACCCCTTCAAGAGAATTAGCAAATTTCTTCTTAAAAAAAAATACTTATGTGTTTATCCCTTCAAATTCTCTCTGGTTGGCCTTGCTCAGTGAGACATCTTACTCAATTTCCAGACTTTGTGGCCAGTTAATGTATCTCTGGTTTTCTGCCGGCCTTGCTCAGTGAGACATCTTACTCAGTTTCCAGACTTTATTTGTGGCCAGTTAATGTATCTCTGGTTTTC